TGAAGAGAAGTATAAAACTTATTTTTAGGCCAATGTTCATGAACAAAAAAGTTTAATAAACCAGGTATTAGAATTTGGGCTGGAAATATTAATGTTATTTTAGTTTTTGTGAGTGATTTCCAGGACCACTTTGACAAGTTAAGGGATGATAGTAAGGAATAACTACAAATTATTACAGGTTTTATGACATAATTGATAGTGTTTTCCAAACTTAAAGCCTAAGCCATGTATCTAAGAGTGCCAGATAAATCTCTCACTTTATTTCAAAGTCCTTCATAGTAGTGCTTTAAAGGATCTTATAGCAGTAGACTCAGTAGTTAAAATTCATACTCTCTGTGTCACACTTACAAGGCAGAAAATAATTCGTGGCTAGACATCCCAAATTTCAAGTCAGGTTCTTTCCAGACACATCTGTGCACCAAATGAAAATGCAAAGCATTTCATTGCATAGTACATCATTTGATTGGGAAATAAATGGAAGATTTATTCCTAATAGTTTTTTTTTTTTTTTTTTTTTTTTTTGCTGTTCACATTTAAATACATAAGATAAAATGGAAAGGAAGTTCTGGTTTGGTACTGCTTTCATTACAATCGCCAAAAGCAGTGATCTACAGTTCCCCCCAAAAAAAAGAAGAAGAAGAAGAAGGAGTCATCACTCCTTCAGCTAATAGTAGATAAACATTTAAAATGTTTATCTTAGGGGCACCTGGGTGGCTCAGTCGCTTAAGCATCCGACTTTGGCTCAGGTCATGATCTCACAGTTGATGGGCATGAGCCCTGCATCAGGCTCTGTGCTGACAGTTCAGAGCCTGGCGCCTGCTTCAGATTCTCTCCCTCTCTCTGCCCCTCCCCCACTTGCTCTCTCTTTCTCTCTCTCTTTCTCTCAAGAATAAACATTTTTAAAAAAGAAATTAAAATTTTTATCTTAAAAATGAACACTCTTACATGAGTATATGTCTTTCCCAGTGAACTTTCTCTTATTCTGTATACTAACCATCCTTGCTGTTGAGTAGAAAACTTGCAAAATTTCTCCTACATACCTTAATCTTTACCACCATTTAAAGAGAAGAAGAGGGGCTCCTGGGTGGCTCAGGCAGTTAAGTGTCTGACTTCAGTTCAGATCATGATCTCACGGATTGTCAGTTCAGGCCCCATGTAGGGCTCTGTGCTGACACCTCAGAGCCTGGAGCCTGCTTCGGAATCTGTCTCCCTTTCTCTCTACCCCTCCCCTACTCACATTCTCTCTCTCTCTCTCTCTCCCTCCCTCAAAAAACAAAAAAACAAAAAAAAAATTAAAAAAAAAAAACTAAAGAGAAGAAGAAATTGTGATAATAGCTTAATCTAGCAAGTTTGAAACAAATCCACCAGAATAAGTGTAAAGTGTACGATAATTAAAAATTACATTGAGTAAAGAAAGGAAAAATATTGTCTGTTCTGAAATTTAAGACAAGATGGGAAATGACTTTTTAAAGCTTTTGATTTTGAAAAGTTATAGAGAAACAGGAAGTTGCAAAGATAGAATAGAGAAGTATCATGTACCCTTCACTCAGTTCCCCCAATGGTTATAACTTACATAACTGTAGTATAATATGAAAACCAGAAAAATTGACATGAGCACAACGTGTGTGTAGTTCTATAACATTTAATCACATGTGTAGATTTGTGTAATGACCACCATCATCAAGACACAGAACTATGCCTTCACCACAAAGATCTCTTTCTCTTGCTATCCTTTTATAGCACCCTTCTGCCACCATCCATAATCGCTGACAACCACTAATTTGTTCTCCACCTCTATAATTTTGTCATCTCAAGAATGTTATATAAATGGAATCATACAGTATGTGATACTTAGAGATTGGGGTTTCTTCTTCTTCTTCTTCTTCTTCTTCTTCTTCTTCTCCTTCTTCTTCTTTTCACTCAGCATGATGCCCTCAAGATTCATCCAAATTGTTGCATTATGAATAGTTCATTCCTTTTTATTAGAACAAATATGCAGAACTGCCAGTGCTGGTTGTATGATAAGAGTATGTTTAGTTTTTAAGAAAACTAAGCTGCTTTCTGGACTGGCTGTACATTCTCACTAGTAATTGTGCAAGATCCAGTTTCCCCTCCTGCATTTGGTATTGTCACTATTTTTACTGTAACTGTACAAATAGATGTGTGGTTATATCTCATCAGGGTCTTAAACTGCATTTCCCTAATGCTAATGATTTTTAACACCTTTTCATGAATTTATTTCCATCTGTATATTTCATCAAAAGGCCTAAGTCTATTTATTTTAATGTATTCATAGGACACCAAACGATATTACACGATACCAAGTAATTTCTTCAAATAGTAAATGTCGTTATTAATCAAAAAGGCTAATTTTCTGACTAAGGCTCCTTTGTGACATAATCCAAGGTATTGTATAGAATAAAATTACAGTGCATATACCATCCTATAATTAATAAACATTAATTAAAGTTTAAAAATACTTTCAAAGCAGTAAAAAAGTACAAAAATATAAAATCCCCAAACAAAATGAATCAAAGAAAATAATCAAATACTCAATGTTTTCAAAATAATTTAAAAACAGTACATAAGCTTATAATTGTAAGAGAACAAAGGAAAGGCTTATAATGATGCTTTGTCTGAAAAAAAAGCATTTGTACAGAATGATATGATATAATGTACATATTCATAATAATCAGAAGGTGAGAAAGGATAATTATTTAATATATATTTCTAAATAGGATTATTTTTTAAGTAGCTTTCTTTACACTTGTTTTTACTTTTTATTAACAACACAAGGAAAGCTACCAGAAGTCTTGGTATTGTATGATAAGCAGACTTATCACAGGGGAAATAAATGTAGACATGATAGTTATTGAAGCTATATTTTGTTTTTGTTTTTGTTTTTTTTGTTTTTTTCAATATATGAAATTTATTGTCAAATTGGTTTCCATACAACACCCAGTGCTCATCCCAAAAGGTGCCCTCCTCAATACCCATCACCCACCCTCCCCTCCCTCCCACCCCCCATCAACCTTCAGTTTGTTCTCAGTTTTTAAGAGTCTCTTATGCTTTGGCTCTCTCCCACTCTAACCTCTTTTTTTTTTTTTTCCTTCCCATCCTCCATGGGTTTCTGTTAAGTTTCTCAGGATCCACATAAGAGTGAAAACATACGGTATCTGTCTTTCTCTGTATGGCTTATTCCACTTAGCATCACACTCTCCAATTCCATCCACGTTGCTACAAAGGGCCATATTTCGTTCTTTCTCATTGCCATGTAGTACTCCTTTGTGTATATAAACCACAATTTCTTTATCCATTCATCAGTTGATGGACATTTCGGCTCTTTCCATAATTTGGCTATTGTTGAGAGTGCTGCTATCAACATTGGGGTACAAGTGCCCCTATGCATCAGTACTCCTGTGTCCCTTGGGTAAATTCCTAGCAGTGCTATTGCTGGGTCATAGGGTAGGTCTATTTTTAATTTTCTGAGGAACCTCCACACTGTTTTCCAGAGTGGCTGCACCAATTTGCATTCCCACCAACAGTGCAAGAGGGCTCCCGTTTCTCCACATCCTCTCCAGCATCTATAGTCTCCTGATTTGTTCATTTTGGCCACTCTGACTGGCGTAAGGTGATATCTGAGTGTGGTTTTGATTTGTATTTCCCTGATAAGGAGCGCCGTTGAGCATCTTTTCATGTGCCTGTTGGCCATCCGGATGTCTTCTTTAGAGAAGTGTCTATTCATGTTTTCTGCCCATTTCTTCACTGGGTTATTTGTTTTTCGGGTGTGGAGTTTGGTGAGCTCTTTATAGATTTTGGATACTAGCCCTTTGTCTGATATGTCATTTGCAAATATCTTTTCCCATTCCGTTGGTTGCCTTTTAGTTTTGTTGGTTGTTTCCTTTGCTGTGCAGAAGCTTTTTATCTTCATAAGGTCCCAGTAATTCATTTTTGCTTTTAATTCCCTTGCCTTTGGGCATGTGTCGAGTAAGAGATTGCTACGGCTGAGGTCAGAGAGGTTGAAGCTATATTTTGAATGCAGTTGATAATTCTCCTGAATTATTGAATTTACTTGGGTGAAAATATTCATTCTACCAACGTTTATTAAGCACCAACTGTATACCTTTATTAAGCAAGTACTGTGTAAGGCTCTTGGAATTCATTGGAAATAAATATTCTCTGATTTTAAGAGGCTTAAAATATAGTAGGGAGAAACAGAATTACAAAAAGCTTAAGTGCACTAATATTTCCTTGAAATGCTAAAAGAAAAAGGAATGAGATCTTATGGTCCAAGATAGTTAACTCTCTGAACTTACAATAAAACTATTCTGAATACTTATTTGATAGAATTTACTTACATAGCACTTTAATTTCTAATTTATTTTCACTTAGAAATTTCAAATTCATGAAAATTACATAGAAAAATGGGAGAGAGATGAAAAGATGAGAGTTGATAACAACATTCTGTACCTAATAGTTATGAATTGTATTATTTATTTTCGCTCTATTAATTAATCCAAAAGGTTTGATTTGGTTCTGGCTAATGGAAATGCTATGTATATCTGTTGTATACTATAAATATTTACATATTTCCATTATTTAATAATTAAATACTGTATAAATTCCAGACTGTACATGTGAGCTAATATAGTCAGACATTAAAATGTGACATAGTATCCTAATATTAGAATTCATGTATGAGAATATGAATGGTCATTTCTCATAAATTTGATAGTGTTTCCCAGAACTGAAGACTCCAAGAAAAAAAAAAAAAAGTACATGCATAAAGTACTCTCTATAGACCTGGAGGGATTTTACAGGAAAATAATGGGAAGAATTGTTTCCAATTCCACTCAGGACTGAATACAGAGACATGAAAGAAAAGACGTTATTTGGATAGAAGATTTCTTAAATGCTTCAAATCTGAAAGGGATAGACGAAGTGTGTTAAAAATATCCACCACTCTGAAAAATACCTGAAATAGAATTTTCCTTTTATAGGTCTAATTAGCCAGGAAAATGGGCTGGATTCCTTCTCAAGGTCACTCTAACCTCTAAGGAATCTATGTCTTCTCTTCAGTAAGAACAGAGCCTCCTTCTCTCTTACCTCCATCCTGATCAGGCAACGTAATTGGCATTCTGTGATTGCTTTCTTAATGCTAATACCACAATAAACAGTGCCATCTACTGACTAAATTCTATAATTGACTACCTCTCAGAATAGTAAATACTCATGTTTGTTATCTATGTTTACATGAGTCACGTGTTATATTATACTTATTTAAAGCTACCAGGAATGTATATATCATCTATCTTTATCTTCCTGTTTTTTGTTTTTGTTTTACAGATGAGAAGGTTGAGATCCAAAAAGATCAATCAATTTGCCCAAAATTTTGACAGGTGTTTTTCAGTGAGCACCACCATGAACTAAACCCTGGGAATAGAAAGAAATTTAACACTTTGGAGGTGGAAATCAATCTGTAAAGTTGTCCATCCATTGGGGAAAATATGTGACAAATATGATTAATGACAAAAGTATGAAATCCATATAGCAAGGCAAGTTGAGAAATAGCTGATGTAAAGTTTTAGGAGAAGGAAATGCTCACATGTAGTTTTAAGTTAAAAAAATGAAAGAGGAAATACTAAATTAAGGTTATTTTGTTCTTCTCTGTTTAACAGAAGGTTGAAACTATTTGTGAATTGTTACAGAAGCTTGATTTGTTCTCAAAAATGTATGATATATAAAATCAACTCATTTTGCTTTAAAATGTCTCCCATCAATACCAACTTTTGGATCAACAACTAAAAGAAATATATCCATATTATATGTAATCTTTAGCTTTATGGCAATTAGGATGAAACAGAGTCAACTCAATGAAAATGAGTTTTTTAATTGTTTCATTTTTTCATGATTTCATTTTTTCATTATTAAGAACTGAGGCATGGTTGGTTTGTATCTGTGCCCAAGATATAAGGTGTATCTACAACTATTAGATCACATCTAAATACTACTTTCAAATGGGTTTATAGTTGCATTCTTTGTAGCATTTTAGTGCATTGTGTCCTACTCAAGCAAAGGATTCAAATATTTATGGGATGGAATCCTGAACATTCTATCTTCTTATTTAAGGCAGGAAGTTGTCAGGTTGATACTTTTGATTATTACAACGGACACAGGTATTTTACTGTTGTTGTTTGTAGGATAACACAAGCTCATACAAAATATATGAGAATATTAAAAATATACATCAAAATAAGAACCTTAGTGTTAACCAGTAGTAAAATAAATCACTTTGGAAAATATTTCCAATCATCATACTCAAATTTTGTCCTGACATCTCCCATCTTCTAAAATTGGAAAAAAACTAAAAGCACTGAAAATCCAACTTTGACTTTAACTTGAGACCATGAGAGCATATAGGGTTTCAGAACATGGCTTGTTTTCTCTGCTACTCATACCCCCAACACTTTTCCATGAGTCAAACTAGTGTTCTAAGGAAGCAGAATCCACCAGCACTAAAATGTCAATGGTAATAACATAACAAAAACACCAGAGAAAAGAGCTTTCATAAGTGTTGTGCTGTGCTGAGGATGTACATGGCACTGAAAGTGATTTGGGGACTGAAGACAGAAACCCGTGCTGAGGGCATAGTGCTAGCCTCCACAGAGATGTCCTCTTGGCACAAAGTCAGGATAGATCCCAGAGAAGCTGACTGCAGCAACTGGAGCAAATCCCGAAACCACACTACCATGCAACAGAACACACAGATACTTGTTCTCTGTACATGTATATTGGGGTTTGTATCGGATTTCAAAATAGTTCACACTCAGCATCTTCTGTTTCCAGGATCTTATTTGATGACCCCTTCTCTTTCCATTATTTGATCAGAAGACTTGGAAAGCATGACTCTTTCTGCTTCATTTTTCTCTTCACCTCAGAATTAAGTTTAATGCTCTATTTGCCATCTATGTGGTTGCATTTATGTTCTGTGGCCTTTTTTTTTTTAACCACATACTGTGAGAAGTTTTAGACCCATTTAGATGCTATCCACTTGCAGGTGACTGGTAAAATCAGAATAATCCAGTATGAAAATGCTCCCAGTTCTTCCTGCATTCTCTCTACTACAGTGAACTTTTCCAATCCTTAGGCATCCCAAACTGAGACATTTACTATGTGATTAACCAATATCTGTGGGCTACTTATAAACTGCTTCTTATAAGTCTGGTAGTTAATAAATTGACTTTAGATTTGATCGGTTCTAAATTTTAGGGAAAGAGAGAGAGAAAGGGTAAAGGAGAGTAAAAGAGAAAAACAAAGAGAGATTGGATCATACATACATTTATAGAAACAACAGCGACAACCAATGCAGAATATTCACTCTGAGAAAGTAAGACATTTCACTGATTAGCTTGTTGTTTTGTTTTTAAGCACAAATGGTTTGCCAGGAAAATTTAAAATTTAGAATACAAGATACAATTTTCCATAAAGCAGAGCATTTGCCATTTTCTGGGACTTGACACCAGGGTTGAAGAAATCCATTTTCACATTCAGACAGTAGCTCTCTAATATACAGGCAGAAGCGTTTTTCCACCATTAAAGCTTTGACTTTTTCTTAAAATAACAGGTGAAAACTTAGTATATATTTGGAAAATCTTGCCTCATTAGCGAAAAAATGTCATCAAAGAGTGTGCCTATGTCATTCCAGAAAGAGTAGCAATACCAACTATCCATTTCATGTGGTACACAATCACTCATGGTTTTAAAATCATATTGACTGAGAAAGAGAAGTCCTATTTTTCCTATTTGATATTACTCCTAAAAGATGAGTTTTACTAAATCCAAAGTCAAATATATGGAGGACTCTGTTTAACTTCACACAGGTGAAAATTTTGAGAGAGATGGGATTCTTAATATGCTTGTTTTTCCTTATGGAATAACTTCTTTATTAGACAAATTCTCTGTAATTGTTCAGGGTCATGCCTGAAATTAGCAAATGCAACCCATGAAGGAAACTCAAAGTGAAGTTAAAATATGTACAATTATTTTCTGTTTGTATACCAGGTGACTAAATTTGTGACATATAATGGGCTCTAGCCAATTATCTAAGCAGCAGACAGCAAAGCTCTAAAATGTAAATTCTCTATTTGATTCATGTGCCTCAACTTTTAGAAGACTCACTTTTTAGAGGAAATGTTGAAAGGTGTTCAAAATTACAACTAGGAACTTGCCACTAAATATGATCAAGAAGCAGTCCTATGGATCCATTAGTTTTTTTTTATGTTTATTTATTTTTTGAGAAAGAGACAGAGTGCAAGTGGGGGAGGGGCAGAGAGAGAGGGAGACTCAGAATCCAAAACAGGCTCCAGGCTCTGAGATGTCAGCACAGAGTCTGACGCGAGGTTTGAACTCGTGAACTGTGAGATCCTGACCTGACCCGAAGTCAGAAGCTCAACTGACTGAGCCACCCAGGTGCCCCTGGACCCATTAGTTCTAATCCCCACTGATTAGGGAAAAGAAAAATCAGTGTTCTGCCCACCAGCAAACCCCTTCTAAGTAAGTGCTTTTCTAGTGTCCTGAGGAGGAAAGAACAAGGTCAGCTGCTACTTGAGCCATTCTAGTTCTTTAGAGCCCAATCCACTGACTTATCCATATATCCGGGCCCAGCCACAGTTTTGAGCAGATCTTGATAGAGGTAGGTAGATATTAACAATGTCTTCAATTATGATAGGCAGAGCTTGGAAATAAGTTTCAACATACAGGAGTCAGTGATCCAGTTAGGATGGCTATGCTCCCATGTACCACCTCCATGCTACCCATCAGGTGGCTGCACCTGTGTTTCCAAGCACACCTCGAATAGAGTCAGAGACACGCAAGGGAAGCCCATTCTGGGAAAAATCTGACAGCATTCAGGAGAGGGCATCAGCAGTTTTTCTCTCCTTAGTTCTTTAGTCGTCCCATCTGAAACAGAGTCCTGGTTTGAAGAGCTGCTTAATTCTTGAAAGGGGCTGTATCTCCTTCATATATCTCTCATTGCAATAGGAGGTCCTTTATAAGTAGGGTGAAAATATATTTTAGCATCTTTCTTCTGAGCCTTTTGAGAGTGAAAATGAAAGATACTAATGACAACACCAGGATACCAGGCATAAACAAAGACTGGATGAGCCAATTAATGCGTATGAGTGTCCTATTATAAGCCTCTAGGGTTTTAGGGGAAAAAAATGAAAAGAAGTTTACTGTTGGGTCCAGTGCTGTTTGCTGGACACTTTACCAATACTTAAAGCTCATTCCTTTATGATTGTTCCTTACCTTTTATTTCAAATGCTCCCTGGCAAAGTTCTTGCCAGTTCTCAGCTTTGCAATACATTTATCTTACATTTACCACATGTACATTATACATATACTATCTTATACAGAGTGGGAAGACATAACAGGAATAAATGAACAATAGAGTGATACTGCTGATTTGCCAGAGTAATATAAATTCAAAACATTGACCAAGGTCAAGTTTGCTTGGAATTATTATCACAATTTATTTGACAGTATCCCTTGTAATCTTTCTGGCAAAGTGTCTTATACAAACTAATGAATGATTAGCATGTGGTTCATTTAGAGAATTATCATCATTATCACTCCAGTTTACCATGTGGTACTTGTTTCTTTGGGCTTGACTGTATTTCAAATATAAATCTTCTACTCTAATATTTTCCATTCTAATTTTTAAAAGGTCGATTTTGGGGGTGCCTGGGTGGTTCAGTCAGTTAAACATCCAATTTCAGCCCAGATCATGATCTCCTGGTTTGTGGGATTGAGCCCTGCAAGGGGCTCTGTGCTGACAGTGTGGAGCCTGCTTGAGATTCTCTCTCTCTTTTTCTCTCTCTGTCTGCCTTTTCCCTATTGTGCATGTGTGCACATGCTCTCTCTGTCTCAAAATAAACAAACAATATTTTAAAAATAAAAATAAATAAAATGTAGAAATATGGCTACATTTTCCACTGTGCAATTTTTTCTTTAGTTTGTAATGGTTAGTTGCCACTTACAACAACATTTTGAACTTCTTTTAATAAGTACTTTTATCATCTTAGGAGGCTTTGTTTTAACAAAGAAATGAAAATCAAAACCACAATGAGATACCACTTCACACCTATGAAAATGGCTATAATCAAAAAGACAGATAATAACAAGTGTTGACAAGAAGGTGGAGTAATTAAAAACCTCATATACTGCTTGTGGGAAAGTAAAATTGTGCATCTAGTTTGGAACATGGTCTGGTAGTTACTCAAAAAGTTAAACATAGAGTTACCATTTGATCTAGCTATACACACACACACACACACACACACACACACACACGCATACATACATAAGGTGGAATAATATTTGGCAATAAAAGAAAATAAATTATTGATATATGCTACAACACATATGAACCTTGAAAGCACAGTGCTAAATGAAAGAAGGCAGTCACCAAAAAACACATTTATATGAAATGTGCAGACAAGCAAATACATGCAAACAAAAAGCAGATTCATGGTTGCCTTGGACTGAGGGTGTGGGGAGGTTAGGGAATGACTATTAAGGAGTACAGATTACTTTTTGGGGTAAAGAAAACGTTCTAAAGTTGATTGTGGTAATGGATGCATGACTCTGAATATACTAAGAGCCAGTGACTTGTGTACTTTGAAAACCAGTAAATTATATACTAAAATCCAGTGATTTATATGATATGTGAATTATATCTAAATAAAGTTGTTTTAGAATAAGGTAGCTAAAATATTTGGTCTTGCAGAATAATATGTCAAGGATATAATCATGATTAAAAGATGTGTACCAAAAATGACATAAAATTAAAATAGAAGTGCATAGGCAGTTAAGCCAATTACTAATTAAATCATGAAACATAAACCCAGTATGGGGTGATTTCTAAAAGACCCAGATAGAAAGAATGGCCCAGTTCTTAGAATTTAAAATCCCACTTGACAGACACATAGACCAATGGAATAGAATAGAAACCCCAGAACTAGATCCACAAACGTATGGCAATTAATCTTTGACAAAGCAGGAAAGAACATCCAATGGAAAAAAGACAGTCTCTTTAACAAATGGTGCTGGGAGAACTGGACAGCGACATGCAGAAGGTTGAAACTAGACCACTTTCTCACACCATTCACAAAAATAAACTCAAAATGGATAAAGGACCTGAATGTGAGACAGGAAACCATCAAAACCCTAGAGGAGAAAGCAGGAAAAGACCTCTCTGACCTCAGCTGTAGCAATCTCTTACTCGACACATCCCCAAAGGCAAGGGAATTAAAAGCAAAAATGAATTACTGGGACCTTATGAAGATAAAAAGCTTCTGCACAGCAAAGGAAACAACCAACAAAAC